GACTCTGAGGAGCACAGGGACTGGCCTCCTGCTGGGACTCTGAGGAGCACAGGGACTGGACTCCTGCTGGGACTCTGAGGAGCACAGGGACTGGACTCCTGCTGGGACTCTGAGGAGCACAGGGACTGGCCTCCTGCTGGGACTCTGAGGAGCACAGGGACTGGACTCCTGCTGGGACTCTGAGGAGCACAGGGACTGGACTCCTGCTGGGACTCTGAGGAGCACAGGGACTGGACTCCTGCTGGGACTCTGAGGAGCACAGGGACTGGACTCCTGCTGGGACTCTGAGGAGCACAGGGACTGGAACTCCTGTTAGTGCCCAGAGTCAGAACTAAACATGGGGAGGCTGCTTTTCAGATTCATGCTGCTAAAATCTGGAACAGTCTTCCTGAAGATGTGAGACAGGCCTCCTCTCTGACAATGTTTAAAACCAGGTTAAAAACTGTGCTGTTTAGCTGTGCTACAACTGAGGGATTTTATATTTTTATCTTTCTTTTTAATGTTCTGTGATTATTTATGATTTTAATGCTTTCTTGTTCTGTTCAGCACTTTGAGTTGCCTTGTGTATGAATTGTGCTACACAAATAAACTTGCCTTGCCTGGCCTAGGTTGGTAGACCATTGGCCTTTGAGCCTGGCAAGGCAAGGCAAGGCAAGTTTATTTATATAGCACAATTCATACACAAGGCAATTCAAAGTGCTGAAGGTCGTGGGTTCTCCACCCACTCCCACTGATGTCTTATGCCACAGTGGGGCGGCTGTGGCTGTGAAGTCAGTTAGCACAGACCCTCCCCTCCACACCCACTTCACTCTGCTGCCCTCAGGACGCAGATACAGAACATTAAGATGGAAGCGGGCAAGATTTAGTACGAGTTTTATCCCTTCAGCTAAAGCAGCTCTTAACAGTCTGTATTTTTGCCCTTGTTATTTGTTTCTCTCTTCTTCTGTGTATCCTGTATGTGACAGTGTCTGTGAAAATGAATTTCCCTCAGGGGACAACAAAGGTCTATCTATTTATCCAAACTGCCGTTGTGTCCTTAGGCAAGACACTTCCCCCACATTAGAATGAGTCTGGTGTGTGTATGAATGGTTGGTGGTGGTGGGAGGGGCCGATGGCACAGACTGGTTGCCTCGCTTCTGTCAGTGTGCCCCAGGGCAGCTGTGGCTACAGTAGTAGTTTATCACCACAGTGTTTGGAGTGAATGAATGACATGTGAAGCGTCTTTGAGTGTCTAAAAAAGCGCTTTATAAAACTGATGGATCATTATTATTATAATTTTGAGTCTGTCTGCACTTTCCAACTCTGTTTTGTGCAAATGTGAGCAACAAACCCCTGGTTTAGATGTTTCTGACATTGTTTGTAGTTCAGAAGCTGTGTCACAAGAGTATTGTGGCTTTTGAAGTGTCCATACATTATCTTCCCCTTAATCCATTTCTAGGTTGGGGGGGTGGCAGTCAGAGCTGGCCCCAGTTCACATGACACCAGCCCCTCACTGATCCTCCTGCAGGTGCTGAGTCCACAGGAGCTGAGATCTTTCAGTGGGGGCTTCAGGCAAAGTGGGGACACAATGACAGCAGTCATCAGTGGGAGTCATGAAGTAGGTCTTATGGTGGGCTCGAACCCACGACCTTCAGGCTCAAAGGCCAATGCTCTACCAACTGAGCCACTGTCGCCGTTTTGAAGTGTCCTTTGAAGCAAATAGTCAATGTAAGCCTTAAAATGTAGAAATCATAGAAACAACAGCTTGCAAAATATTACTTTACATTTTCTAAGTTTCGCCTGGAATGTCAAATCCTTGTAGAACCCAACAACATAGTAAAAAAAATGTTTATTGTGTAATTGATTTATTTATGCAATTTTGAACAAAAATATTTTAATATATGAAAGTCCCCTATTCAACAAGATTCCATAATTCGTTGGACAGATCCAATTGTCATGTCCATAGAGCCTGATCCCATCTGACTGAAGCTCCTGTACTCTCCGGGTCTGAAGTACATCATCCTTCCTCTGTACTGAGGCTGCTCGTACATCAGCCAGTGGCCGTTCATGACGTGGCAGGACTGACAATAGACATCTGGTAATGATCTTGGATGGAGTTGCAGTCATCTACAAGCTCATTTGTTTGAGCACTAAAATGATCTTTCTCATAGATCTTCATTTGAAAAGGTCCTCTGTGCTGCCGTTAGACATGAAGAAAGTTACATGACCAACATTTTTATGCAGAGTTACATTTTTATATTTACTGACTCATACCATTGGGATCATGCGGCAGGAACATTCCCATCAGGCACTTGTTGTCTGGATGCTCCTCTCTCCTCACTCTCTCTCCACACGGCAGGAGATACAGCTCAAATAGGTCAGTTCAGCACAGTCGCTGTTGGTTTCATAGGAACGTCCCTGAAGGTTCCTGTCCTCATAGAAGATGATTTATTTATTTATTTTATTTAGTAAGTAAGTAAGTATTTATTTATATACCGCCTTTTCACTGCAGATCTGAGTCTCAAAGCGGTTTACAATTGTTAATTTTGGGCATTTGTCTCTCACTCCACACAGAGATGGGAGGGTACAGTACAGGAGGCACATGCCAGAACTATTGGACATATTTTTAGTGGTAGGGGAAACCGGAGTACCCGGAGGAAACCTACGCAGACACGGGGAGAACATGCAAACTCCACTCAGAAAGGCCCTGGTCCGACCGGGATTCGAACCCAGGACCTTCTTGCTGAGAGGCGAGAGTGCTATCCACTCAGCCACCGTGCCGCCACTTTATTTGGTTTATTTGAGCAACATACAATACATTTATACAACAACAACAAAAGATATTACTGACGTATTTGCTGCTCAATGATCTGTGATGAAAGTATATGTTTAATCTTTAATCTTATTGTCAGAAATGTATAAAATACAATGTATATGTAATAATTGCTTACTCTTCCCTTCTCAATTGTTTCCCTGATTGAACTGGTACTGGTGCAGCTTTTATACCCATCATGATAGTTGTCTGATGCCTTTGTGCAAATAACTTACTCAGCAGGACTGCAACCCCGGCTTTAATGTGTGTTAATCTATTTGTAAATGGTTATTATTCTAGAATATATGCTCCTGGTGCAAGTGTCACTGCTCTGCACAGTGGGACAGGTGGGTGACAATGCAGAAAGTGGAATTAATAGAATAAATCCGAAATACACACATATTTCATGTTCCTTTTTTTTCTATAATCTTGTACAGTACATCAGGCTGCCAAAATCACATTGAAACCACATGCCTTGTTCAAATACATAAAAACATATTTACATGTCATGCATATAAGAAAATATGCATGAAAATTACTATTACCTGTGTACCACATGATAGCTGTACATTATCTAAAGCTAATCGCGTTTCTCAAAATAATATAATTTTATTTGACATACTCATAGATAAGATTAAGTCTCTACTGTCTACAAGTCTAATGGATGTTTGTATACATTTTCCTTAATATCTTTAAGAGATGAAGTTGTTAATTATTCATGACATAGTATCTGTCACCCTGGTCATCTGTATTGATTCCTGTTTTGCTGTGTTACAATTTCATCTGCAGTCAATTCAATATCTGTAAACAGATTCCCATAATTACTTAAGTAATATCTTGTGACACAATTAAGTTTCATGCCCTTTTATTGTCAAAAAACACTTTCATTGTTAGCAAGTGTAGCTTTAACAGGAATCTGTGATGCGCCTGACAGAGCTGATCTTCATGCCACTGTATCCCACGTCTCTCATGCTCCTGTACTCTCCGGGCCTCAGGTACATCATCCTCCCTCTGTACTGGGGCTGCTCGTACATCAGCCAGTGGCCGTCCATGACAGTACAGGACTGGCAGTCAGGCATGCGGTAACGGTCTTGGATGTTATTGCAGTCATCAAGCAGCTCAAAATTTTGACCCTGGAAGTTCTCCCTCTCAAAGATCCTGAGTCGGTAAGACCCTCTGTGCTGTATTTAATCATGCTTGATTAAATGTCTTATCATAACAAGAAAATGTACAAGCAAAAATGTAATTTACCTGTGGAATCAGACGGCAGGATCGGATAGAACCACTCATGCTCAAAGAGTTGTAGTCTGAGTACTCGCCTCTTTTCAGGAAATATTGATTTCCTGTGTAGTTTGGACGCTCATAGACCATGAAGCAACCATTTTCCACTCTGCAGGAATTGCATTTACTTAGGTAGGAGGACATGTCAGCACAGTCGCTCATGCACTCATAAGAGCGCCCCTGGAAGTTCCTCTCCTCGTAGAAAATGACCTGAAAGAACCAAAACGACTTAGTTTGCCCAATCACTCCATGTTTGTGAATTTTAGCAATTACCTTGCCCATGTTCAATGCTATGCGAGTTTGTGGGAATGTGTCCAACAATGTGTGGCTGTCAGTGAGGGCTTTTATACTTTATACACGCTCCAACTTGTTTTTGTCATTCAAATGTTCTGAAAGTTGATGATTAAGCAGCTCTGCGATCACAGTTTCATTTGTACTATCATTATAGAGCTGAAACATGGAAGACACCAGCTAAAAAAGAGCAGAAAAAAATTGCTCTTTTTCTTATATAGATTTGGAGAGTTTAAGTTTAAGATATATATTTTTTATTTTTTTTTATCCCAGATTATACTAATCACACTTCCTAGAGTGTTAGACAGTGTTCCATATAATTTTAATATAGTTTTCATGCTATGTACGTTTACTCTTGTTTTTACTTTATGTATTGTCTCCTTTTTGTATGTATACCCTGACCTGCCCAAAGAATCAGAATCAATTTATTGCCATTTGCAAAAAAGACTACATCGGAATACAAACAGGAAACACCTGGGGCACCAACACCACAAAGCACACACACACAGACAAAAAGAATAAAAAAAACAGCGAGACACAGTGACGCACACTTTCATCCATCCATCCATCCATCTTCTTCCGCTTTATCCGTTGCCGGGTCGCGGGGGCAGCAGTCTAAGCAGAGACGCCCAGACTTCCCTATCCACACACACTTCCTCCAGCTCGTCCGGGGGGACCCCAAGGCGTTCCCAGGCCAGCTGAGAGACATAGTCCTTCCAGGGTGTCCTGGGTCTTCCCCGGGGCCTCCTCCCGGTGGGACGTGCCCGGAACACCTCCCCAGGGAGGCGTCCAGGAGGCATCCTGAACAGATGCCCGAGCCACCTCAACTGGTTCCTCTCGACGTGGAGGAGCAGCGGCTCTACTCCGAGCTCCTCCAGTGTGACTGAGCTCCTCACCCTATCTCTAAGGGAGCAGCCACTCTGCGGAGGAAGCTCATTTCGACCGCTTGTATCCGCGATCTCGTTCTTTCGGTCATTACCCAAAGCTCATGACCATAGGTGAGGGAGGGAACGAAGATTGACCAAATCGCTTTTTTCAAATTAAAATGATAAATAATTTTTTTACCCACTGGGAAAATGTTAAAACTATGGCATATGACAGAGTCGGATGACTACCGTTTTTGTTGTCAGGAGTCTGAATCCACACTGCATTTATTTTGGTACTGTTATATTGTGTCTTTGTTTTGGGTGGAGGTTGAAAAAATGTGTCAAAGCATTGGTTTGCCAATGAAGCTTGAAGTTGTCTCTGTTATGCTAGGAGAGTTTATAGATGGTCAGGATCTAATTCATTTAATTATTGTGCTTGGTAAAAGATTTATTTTTAAGGCCAAAAATCGATATTCACTCAATATGGGCGAATTTAAAAAGTTTAATCAGAAATTTTTAAATTTAGAAAGTTATATGGTCAAAACTGATACTGAAGCCAAAAAATACACAAATCGATGGGAGATTTTGAAATAAACTATGTTTATTGTACGTAAATGAAGGTGTGGAAACCGCCTGGACTTGACCTGGTTAGAAATTTATTTTATTTTACCATCAAAATCCTTTTACAATTTGTGAAGTGCAGACAGTGTCCATCTTTATTTTATTTTTATATTTAGTTTAGTTTAGTTTTTATTTTTTATTTTTGTTTTTTTACAAGACAGTTTGAATGAGTGAGTGAGTGAATGGGGAATGAGGGAGGGTGTTTTGTAAGTGTGTCTTGTATTTTTATGTTAAACTGATTATTTTCTGACTGTTGAAAATAAAGAATAAAACAAAAACAAAAAAAAGACCGGTAAATCGAGAGCTTTGCCTTTCGGCTCAGCTCCCTCTTCACCACAACGGTCCAATACAGCTCTGACTGTAGACGCTGCTCCCTCTTTACCACAACGGTCCGATACAGCTCTGACTGCAGACGCTGCTCCCTCTTTACCACAACGGTCCGATACAGCTCTGACTGCAGACGCTGCTCCCTCTTTACCACAACGGTCCGATACAGCGACCGCATCACTGCGCACGCTGCATCGATCCGCCTGTCAATCTCACGCTCCATTCTTCCCCCACTCGTGAACAAGACCCAGAGATACTTGAACTCCTCCACTTGAGGAAGGACCTCTCCACCCACCTGCAGAGGGCAAGGCACCTTTTTCCGGTCGAGCACCATGGCCTCGGATTTGGAGGTGCTGATTCTCATCCCAGCCGCTTCACACTCGGCTGCAAACCGCCCTAGTGCATGCTGCAGGTCCTGGTTTGTTGGAGCCAACAGGACAACATCGTCCGCAAACGGCAGAGATGAAATCCTGTGGTCCCCGAACCGGACCCCCTCCGACCCCTGGCTGCGCCTAGAAATTTTGTCCATAAAGACAGTGAACAGAACCGGTGACAAAGGGCAGCCCTGTCGGAGGCCAACACCGGGAACACGTCTGACTTACTGCCGGCAATGCGGACACAGCTCTGGCTCCGGTCATACAGGGACCGGACGGCCCTCAGCAGAGGACCCCGGACCCCGTACTCCCGGAGAACCCCCCCAAAGAACACCCCGGGGAACACGGTCAAATGCCTTCTCCAAATCCACAAAGCACATGTGGACAGGTTGGGCGAACTTCCATGAACCCTCGAGTATCCGATGGAGAGTATAGAGCTGGTCCAGTGTTCCGCGACCGGGACCAAAACCACACTGCTCCTCCTGGATCCGAGATTCGACCATCGGCCGTAGCCTCCTCTCCACTACCTTGGAGTAGACCTTACCGGGGAGGCTGAGGAGTGTGATCCCACAATAATTGGAACACACCCTCCGGTCCCCCTTCTTGTAGAGAGGGACCACCACCCCGGTCTGAGAGGGACCACCACCCCGGCATGAGGGGGACCCCCACCCCGGTCAGAGAGGGACCACCGCCCTAGTCTGAGAGGGATCACCACCCCGGTCTGCCACTCCACTGGCACCGCCCCTGATCGCCACGCGACGTTGCAGAGACGTGTCAGCCAAGACAGTCCCACAACATCCAGAGACTTTAGAGTCAGGACGGATCTCATCCACTCCCGGCGCCTTGCCACCATGGAGGCTGCCAACCACCTTGGTGACCTCAGCCAGGGAGATGGAAGCATCTGCCCCAACATCCTCAGCCTCTGCCTCCGGAATGGAGGACGTGACGGGGGGATTGAGGAGAACCTCAAAGTACTCCTTCCACCGCCCGACAATATCCCCAGTTGAGGTCAGCAGCTCTCCACCCGCACCGTACACAGTGTTGGCAAAGAACTGCTTCCCCCTCCTGAGGCGCCGGACGGTTTGCCAGAATCTCTTTGAGGCCGACCGATAGTCATGCTCCATGGACTCTCCGAATTCCTCAGAGTAAATAAAAAGACCAAAAGACTAAAGGGTTTGATCTGCTGCGCTTTCTCCAACCTCTTACCTCTCACCGCTTTGTGACTCTGGTCTGTGAAAGGCAGTATATAAATAAAGCTTACTTACTTACTTAAGAATATATATATTTTTTTAAAATAGTTTTATGGACCATTCGTTACAGACGGACGTTGTCACTTGTAGTGAAGTTTTCCTTTGCCATTTCTGGTGTTACATGATGCAGGTTGAAAAACTGTTTTATTAATTGTTTGAGTGTTATTGTTTAAGCAGGATAAGTACGCATAAATACAGATTCATTCCAAACTCACAATTTCATACATGCATATACAGTATATATACAGTGCCTTGCAAAAGTATTCGGCCCCCATGATCCTTTCAACATTTTGCCACATTTCAGGCTTCAAACATAAAGATATAAAATTTAAATTTTTTGTCATGAATCAACAACAAGTGGGACACAATCGTGAAGTGGAACGAAATTTATTGGATAATTTAAACTTTTTTAACAAATAAAAAACGGAAAAGTGGGGCGTGCAATATTATTGGGCCCCTTTACTTTCAGTGCAGCAAACTCAGTCCAGAAGTTCAGTGAGGATCTTTGAATGATCCAATGTTGTCCTAAATGACTGATGATGATAAATAGAATGCACCTGTGTGTAATCAAGTCTCCGTATAAATGCACCTGCTCTTTGATAGTCTCAGGGTTCTGTTTAAAGCGCAGAGAGAACCATGAAGACAAAGGAACACACCAGGCAGGTCCGAGATACTGTTGTGGAGAAGTTTAAAGCTGGATTTGGATACAAAAAGATTTCCCAAGCTTTAAACATCTCAAAGAGCACTGTGCAAGCAATTATATTGAAATGGAAGGAGTATCAGACCACTGCAAATCTACCAAGACCCGGCCGTCCCTCCAAACTTTCATCTCAAACAAGGAGAAGACTGATCAGAGATGCAGCCAAGAGGCCCATGATCACTCTGGATGAACTGCAGATAACTACAGCTGAGGTGGGAGAGTCTGTCCATAGGACAACAATCAGTCGTGCACTGCACAAATCTGGCCTTTATGGAAGAGTGGCAAGAAGAAAGCTATTTCTCAAAGATATCCATAAAAAGTCTGGTTTAAAGTTTGCCACAAGCCACCTGGGAGACACACCAAACATGTGGAAGAAGGTGCTCTGGTCAGATGAAACCAAAATCAAACTTTTTGGCCACAATGCAAAACGATATGTTTGGCGTAAAAGCAACACAGCTCATCACCCTGAACACACCATCCCCACTGTCAAACATGGTGGTGGCAGCATCATGCTTTGGGCCTGCTTTTCTTCAGCAGGGACAGGGAAGATGGCTAAAATTGATGGGAAGATGGATGGAGCCAAATACAGGGCCATTCTGGAAGAAAACCTGTTGGAGTCTGCAAAAGACCTGAGACTGGGACGGAGATTTATCTTCCAACAGGACAAGGATCCAAAACATAAAGCCAAATCTACAATGGAATGGTTCACAAATAGACGTATCCAGGTGTTAGAATGGCCAAGTCAAAGTCCAGACCTGAATCCAATCGAGAATCTGTGGAAAGAGCTGAAGACTGCTGTTCACAAACGCTCTCCATCCAACCTCACTGAGCTCCAGCTGTTTTGCAAGGAAGAATGGGCAAGAATTCCAGTCTCTCGATGTGCAAAACTGATAGAGACATACCCCAAGCGACTTGCAGCTGTAATTGCAGCAAAAGGTGGCGCTACAAAGTATTAGCGCAAGGGGCCGAATAATATTGCACGCCCCACTTTTCAGTTTTTTATTTGTTAAAAAAGTTTAAATTATCCAATAAATTTCGTTCCACTTCACGATTGTGTCCCACTTGTTGTTGATTCTTGACAAAAATTGTAATTTTTATATCTTTATGTTTGAAGCCTGAAATGTGGCAAAATGTTGAAAGGTTCAAGGGGGACGAATACTTTCGCAAGGCACTGTATATACTGCCCTTTTGTTTATTGAATTGTTTTAATTTTTTATATTATAAATATCCTTTACAGTCTACATGTGTATAAAAGAAATCAATGTTGAACAAACCGAATGCTGATTTGTAAATGGGGCTTACTTGGTCAACAAAGGCTGTCCCTCGTCTGCACATTCTGCATTTCAATATAAAACACAACTCCATTGCAGCTGGTGGGAAACACGCTGCATCATTAACATGGGGAAGGTAAGGGCCTGTCGCATTATGTTCTATATATATATATATATATATATATATATATATATATATATATATATATATATATATAATAATAACATAATATATTGTCAGATTTTTTTAAAAGGTTCATGCTTCCAGATAGTGTTCTTTGAGGATAAAAACTTTGAGGGACGGAGCTATGAATGTAGCAGCGACTGCCCTGACCTGCGCTCCTTCATCAACACTTGTGGTTCTGTAAAAGTGGAGAGTGGCTGCTGGGTCCTGTACGAGCGCTGCGACTATGGAGGGTTCCAATACGTCCTGAGTCCCGGAGAGTACCCTGAGCACCAGCAGTGGATGGGGTTCAATGACACTATTAACTCTTGCCGTTCCATAAATAATGTAAGACTGACATCAGTACAACTTATTACACAGTCACCACCTAAAGACAAATATTATTAAGTTACATTGAAGGTTAACAAATGTGTCTGAGAGCACAATCTGTCAATGAATTATTACATTAAAGTCATTTTAAAAGTCATAAACCTGCAAGTATTTTAATGCAGCACATAGTATTTCATGCAATAAAATGTTTTCCTGCAGCCTCAAAGATGCAAAGAGCAGATAACGGTCAATGCAAACCTTCATCCTTTCTGCCTTTTTATTTTTTTTATCTAGGTCTATGGAAAATCTTGGAAAATAAGGTTTTTTGACAAACAGGACTTTGACGGCCAGACGGCAGAGTGTGACGAGGACTGCCCTTCAGTGTTTGAAGCTTTTAAGTTCCGGGAGTTCCACTCCTGTGTGGTCACAGATGGTGCTTGGGTCCTCTTTGAGAAACCAGACTACCACGGGCAGCAGTACTTCCTGGATCAAGGAGAGTATCACAGCTACACAGCCTGGGGGGCAGGGACCCCCACGGCAGGATCCCTGCGCATGGTGACAGAGTTTTAGAACAGCACAACAATAAATGGTTTTCAAAGACTTTTCTGTTTCCAACGTTCATATTTGTGTAACATTTGAATATCAAATAAAGAATTTTACTATTACAATCATCTGTCTGTTGTGTATTGTCTACAAACAAATGTGTGCAAAACAAACACAAACAAATGTGTGCAAGTTTGTGTAAGCCCTCAGTCGTACAGGGATTAGTCAAAGCAAAGGAAGGTTTCTCACCCATCATCTGTACTTCTTAGCAAGTTTTCCCGACGTTTCGTCCTCAATCCAAAGGACTTCTTCAGGGAATGAATTCTCAGACCGCGCGTTGGAGATTTATAACCTATGGGTGTGGTTAGCCACACCCTAATCCTGATACTAACTCATAAACAATCTAAGGTCTGATGTAGAAGGGAGCAGGTCTAACGACCCTGCTGAGGCTAACGACCCTAACTCATTAGCATGTCACTGACCTTGTCCCAAGTTAGGGCGTTGTTTTTAGGATGTCGTCATAGATGCGAGGCAAAACAAATCTTAACCCTCCTCCTCTGTTAAGAGAAGGTTTTTGTTTCCTCACAAAAATGGCTTCTTTCACTCCTCTCTCAAACCAATTCTTCTCCTGAGCCAGAATTTTAACCTCTGTGTCATCCACCGTGTGGTTGGAGGCCTTGAGGTGGAGATGAACAGCCGACTGTGGCCCACTAGAGTTTTCTCTACGATGTTGGTAAAGTCGTTTCTGTAGAGTTTGTTTGGTTTCTCCAATATAGTGGTCAGTGCACTCCTCTTCACTACATTTAATTGAATACACCACATTGCTCTGTTTGTGTCTGGGTGTTTTGTCTTTGGGATGCACTAATTTCTGTCTTAACGTGTTGAAAGGTTTGAAATACACAGGGATTTTGTGTTTCCTAAAGATTCTTTGTAGTTTCTCTGAAACTCCCGCCACATACGGTAAGGACACCCCTCTTCTTCTACTTTCTTCTGTCTGTTGGACTGTGTCTCTGGCCTTTCTCGTCCTTTGGGCTTTAGTAAAAGACCACTTGGGGTAGCCACATCTGGAAAGTGCTCTCTGAACATGTTTGGTTTCTCTGTTCTTTCCCTCCGAGCTAGTGGGGACCTGGTGGGCTCGGTGTTGAAGCGTTCTAATGACCCCGAGTTTGTGTTGTAGCGGATGGTTTGAATCAAAGGCCAGGTACTGGTCAGTGTGAGTGGACTTTCTGAAGACCTCAGTCTCTAATTGTCCGTTCTCCAGTATGATGACCTTACAATCTAGAAAGGTGAGTGGAAACAGGAGTGGTTCCACTTCCTGTTTCTTTAACTTAACCCATGTATCGTCTACATATCGAAACCAATGGCTTGGCGCTGTCCCTTGGTAAGAGCCCAGGGCTTGTTCCTCCAGTTTCTCCATATACAGATTGGCCACTATAGGAGAGACTGGGGAGCCCATCGCACAGCCATGTGTGCAAAACAAACACAAACAAATGTGTGCAAAACTAAATCTGGGGAACAATTACATGTTTATCTTTTGTGTAGTTCCTGTTCATAAGCCCCATCGTGCAATAACTATGGCCCTATAAATATGTCCCATTGTAGTAACTCTTACTAGTGTGTGTTTGTGCGACTGAGGGACTGCAGATGGAAATTAGACACAGCTACAATGTGATGATCCAGGACACTTAAACATTCTACAACATGTATGACATTTATCAACACGTGTGACATTTATCAACACGTGACATTTATCAACATGTGTGACATTTATCAACACGTGTGACATTTATCAACATGTGTGACATTTATCAACACGTGTGACATTTATCAACACGTGTGACATTTATCAACACATGACATTTATCAACATGTGTGACATTTATCAACATGTATGACATTTATCAACACGTGACATTTATCAACATGTGTGACATTTATCAACACGTGTGACATTTATCAACACGTGTGACATTTATCAACACGTGTGACATTTATCAACACATGACATTTATCAACATGTGTGACATTTATCAACATGTGTGACCTTTATCAACATGTGTGACATTTATCAACACGTGTTCTATATTCTTTATGTGTGTTAACTGTTGATTCTCTGATCTGTGGTGATTTCAATGGTTTTGTTAAGTCTCTGAGATGATGCTGTTGTGATTTAGGGAAATACAAGAATAAATTGTGTTGTGTTGTGTTGTACACTCCTGCTGTTCATGAATACACACTGTGCCATCCAAATAAACAAACATACTACTTACATGGCAGCACTTTACTGAATACATGATGGTGATTGTAACCTACTTCTTAGCCACGGCTGCCCTGGGGCAGACTGACAGAAGAAACTTTCCTGCTTCATTTAATGGAAAATGTTCTTTTACTGTTTCTGTAATTTTTCACCAGATTGTTTATGAACATATGGACTAAACTCTTTTCAGTAATGTACGTAAATATATGGAGTATTTTAATTTAAAGATAAAATTATTAAATGATGTCCATGCTATGTAGTTAAATTGTTTCTTTTACAGCTGTATTAAAATTGTTTCCAGTTGAGAAACTTGGCTGCATGAAACTGCTATTGTTTGCTGAAAAGCTGTTCTCTGTGTATGAACAAAAGAGAGACTCTAGATCAAACAGTTGAACTCTTATAGAGGTTGATGCGCTGCTAACCATGCATTTGGGTTCTTTGTCTCACGGCGTATAAAGAGTACTGACCTGCGCCTGCTGTTTAATATCTCTCATCATGGAGAAGGTGATTCATTTCATTATCAAAGTCTGGCTTTGTGCAATGTTATTATTTCAATCTATTTCTGCAGATTATTTTTTTCGAGGAAAAGGATTTCAAAGGGAGGTCCTATGAATGCAAAGGCGACTCCACGGATCTGCACAGCTACATTCGGCGATGCAACTCTGTTAAGTTAGAAGGCTGGTGGGTCCTGTATGAGCGCAGCAACTACACAGGATACCAGTACGTCCTTGGCCCAGGAGAATATAATGCCTTCCAGAAGTGGATGGGTTTCAATGATTGTGTGAGATCCTGCAGAATTGTCAGAAGTGTAAGAACTTTTCTTTTCCATTCATTTGTTTGTATGTTTCTTTACGTTTATGAATTTCCATTTGTTTTTGTAGGCAAAAGGTCCATTCAAAATGAGGCTGTTTAACAGACCACACTTTGGTGGTCATTCTATCGAACTGTCGGACAACATGAAGTCTGTCCCTGAGCAGTGGCAGAGGAATGAGGTTCTGTCCTGTAAGGTTCTGGCGGGTTCTTGGGTGTTTTTTGAACATCCCAACTTCAGTGGACGACAGTATCTTCTGGAGAAAGGCGAATACAGGCACCACACTGACTGGGGAGCACTTCGATCTACTGTCGGCTCTATCAAAAGAGTGATGCAGTCGTGAAACTGTGCTTTGCAAATTTACATCAAGTAAATAAATGATGGGTTTTTGTTTAGTGAGAATTGCTTCCTATTATTTCCTTCTCCAAGAGTGAGTCATTTATCAAAAAGAGTGTGAACTACCACTTTTCACAATGACAACACTGGTCTGACTAATAATAAAAAGATTGTCATTCCTGCTGACAATCTTTTTATTATTATTATTTTATTTTTTATTTGCTTATATTGTGTTGGGTCATTGTCAACTTTTTCTATTCTATCCCTCAGAACTGAAGTTAATTTTGTATTTGGTAATTTTCTTAAATTGTCAGTGGTACTAGATCATATAATGTATTCTTCACACTCCAATGTATTTTCCACTTATTTGATAACGAACACATTTGTAACAGATAATATAAGCTGCATGTTATCCTCTGAAATATGCAAAGGGACAACATTCTGGACTCCTCTCAGGCTTGTTTGGAGCAGAGCACATGACAAAACTATGTGATGACTCAGTCGTATTTTCCAGAGAACTATATCCACAGTTAGTGCTGATGCTTAGCTGAACTCCATTCCAACACACAATAGGAGTCCAGCGTGTTCTAACAGCTGCATTTATGTCTAAAGCCCCTTTGTGGTCTGCACTGAACTCTTCAACGAGACAAAACGTGAACATACCCCCTCTAGTGGACGGTAAAAACCTGTCATGTCTGGATAAAGTAGTACATTAACAAGCTGCCCATTTAAATCCAGTTGCTTGAAATTACATTAGTTGTGAATTTACATGGAATGGCTGCACTGACCAATGACCGATTGGACAATCCATCAACGAGCTCTGTTCGCCACAGGCAGTTGATGAGACATGTCTTTATTTGCTTATTCAGGTATGGGCCAAAACTGAAATGTCAGATTGTGTAATCATTGGTAAGATTATATTCGTTCACATGAGCAGTAATAAATCTAAAAGTAGAAAAGTAATATGATAAGCTGGTTGAACCTTGTGACAGCGACACCAAGAACATAAAGCATGCAACGCCCCCTTGTGGCAAATTCTAGGTAATTTATTTTCTTATCCTTATCTTTCTTTAACACAAAACATATACACCTGATCAAGACTTACTCAAACCATTTTGTCTCTTTTTTATGTTGTTCCTTTTGCTGTGATCTCACATATTTTGGCTTAAAACTGATAATGTATCGCTGTGACGTGTGATTGGCCAACTTCAGAAAGTTTGTGACTTTAATGTGCTTGACATTTGTGACAATAAGGATCTCAGTTCTAAATTCTATTAAACGTGACCCAATCTCATGTTGGTACTCGGACCACTAGATGGCGCATATGTGTTGCCATAGACTCCAAAGGCTTTTATTGTACAATCCTTTTATTGCGTCATAAAAGAAACAGTATTCCCTTGGACATTTGTCATGACGTCAACACTTGATTATAAAAACGGATTATTTTTAAATACGATCCAAAAATGACTCTCAATTAGAATACAGAAAGACCCGCGGTTTTTATCACTAACTCAAGACATTGTCTAGAAAAGCTGATTAACAACCATAAAAATATTATGTTCACCCACTGAAACAAAAGGATAAATGATACTGTCCAGGCATCCTCCAAATCAGAACTAACTG